AATAATAGGTTCATAATATATAGGATTTAAATACAAATTTTGATAAATGTTTGAATTTTTTTTTTTTTTTTTTACGGAGGGGGGAATGATTGATTGATTGGTTCGAATGAAATTCCAAAGAACTTTTTAAAAATATTTATATACACGTTATCAACGATTTTTTTATCATTTTTTTCCGTTATAAAAATTTACTCGCGTCATCATTTCAAATTTTTTTTTTTTTTAACGGTCATTTTTGCGATTGATAACGGGGAGGGGGGAAACAGTTAAATTCAGGTACGTTCTTTTGCTGTCGTCCATTGCCAAGGTAAATATTAATTAGTTGATGATACAAAAAAATTTTATCAGACCCTTTGATGAAAAAAAATTTTTTTAGTGGGGGAGGGGGAGGATAATTAAAACCCTTTTTTTGTATTTTTAACCCTTCTTCTCTTTCTCCTTCTCCTTCTTTTTTTTTCTCTATCCTTCTTTTTTCTCTTTTTATTTTTGTATAATTATAATTAAATAATATAATAATTTATCTGGAAAAGTTTGTTTCGTTTGTTTGTTTCGTTAAGGATTTTATATAAGTGTTTGTTTGTTATTAAATAAATTATTTTGGAAAAAAAGAAAACGACGGTTAGATTTTAAGTGGTCGTTAAGTGGTAATTAAAAAAAAGAAAATGGCGGAAAATTTTTTTTGTTTTGTTAATGTGCATTTATTTTTTCAAACGAATTTATTTATTTATATTAAAAAAAATATATATATATTATTATTAATATGGCGACCATAAAGGGTGGGTCCATACGTATTTTGACAAATAAACGCCGCGATTTTACCTTTAAGGTATTATTTTAACCGTTTGATTTATATTAACAATTGATTAATGTCCCGTGACTGAAATTAAATTTTCTTGGACTTTTTTTTTTTTTTCAATCGATCGGTAAAATACCCGGAAGTGACTGCACTTGAAGGTTTATTCTAACAACCAAAGTTTTTAACCTACCTTATCTATTTTGGGGTATAAAAAGTTGACGTCCTTCGAAGGAAAAAAAAAAATTCTACCACCACCTACTTAACGTTCAAGTCCATCGCATATGCGTTACATGTTACGACGACGAGATGCCCGGAAATGAGAAAACTCGTTCTTATTATTATTATTATTATTATTATTATTATTATTAGTTTTCCCTTTCTATTTTTCTTTTTCTTTCTCTCTGTCTCTGTCTCTCTCTCTCTCTCTCTTACATACGACATAAATGTTGCCAGATATAAAAAATATTGATAATGATAATAAATTATTAATTATTTTATCGTGCGTTCGTTACATGCGGGAAAATTTTTTTTTTTTTTTTTGACGTGGTTTATAAAAATTATTTCCTTTGACGAAAACCTTTTTTTTTTTTTGATTGTTTTTAACACGTTTCCTTTTAATAATAATTTTCAAATATTATAGCGCCGGTATTAAATTTTCCCCGTAATCTGCTACAATCAAAATCAAATTTATTAATAATAATTTATTTACGTTGTTGTTAATAAATTTTTTTTTTGTGAAAAAATTACAAATCGAGATAAAATAATTTATTATTATTATTATTATTATTATTATTATTATTAATATTATTATTATTATTAATTTCTGCTTTAATTACTGTCAATTATTTTTTATAATTTAATAGAATTTTTTTTATAATTTATAGTTTTGCGTGAAAAAAAAAAAATTTAAAAATTTATTCGCACATTAATTTGATTCAGATTATCATCATCATCATCAATATCATTATTATCTTCGCATTCGACATTAATGTATTATCGTTATTATTATTATTGATATCATTTTAATTTTTTTATTTGTTTTTCTTTTGTTACCTGTATACACTCGTCAGAGAGAGAGAGAGAGAGAGAGAGAGAGAGAGTGATTTGTGTTTGCGATTATCCATGCTTTATAATTATCATCATTATCATTATTTTTTTGATTTAATCGATTTTTGCCGTAGGAAAAGGATCGAAAATTATTATTATTATTATTGTTTTAATTAATCTAAGAGCGCGAATATAATATTTCGAAAGAAAAAATAATAATAATAATAAAAGGGTATCAATCAGGGTATGAAATTTAAATAAAACGGCGATTAGAATGAAAATAAATAAATAAATAAAAAAATGTTGAAACGTTTTTAGGCGACATTTTCTCACCCATTTGTTGTGTGGCTCCCCGGGTTGGTTCGTTCGTTCGTACGTTCTTTGACGTTCGTTTCCCCCTGACAATTAAAAAAAAAAAAAATTTTTTTTTATTTATATGGCACCGTTGCGTGGCATGTGGCAATGAATCTATTTTTTTTTTTTTTTTTTTTATTATTTCTTCATCTTCTTTTCTTTTCTTTTTTTTATTTTAATATTATCATTATTATTATCATTATTATTATTATTTTTTTTCTTCTTTTTCTTCGTCTCCAAAAATAGTATATTCATTCAGAGAGAGAGAGAGAGAGAGAAAAAAAAAAGAATAAGATGAAGAAGAAGAAGAAGAACGCGTGCTCTTCTCTTTCTCTCTCTTTTTTATCCTCCCCCATCTTCTTCTTTTTGTCAACTTTCTCTCTCTCTCTCTCACTCATTCTTTTATTCTCTTATACCCTCCTCACTTTGTTTTCTTCTCCCTCTCCCATTCTCTCTCTCTTTTTTTTTTTTTTTTATTTTACCAAACACAAGTTTTATCCATTGAATTCCCTACAGTTTGATATCTCCATCGGATTCTTCCTCAGTCCTCAATGGTTTAGACAGGGGTTCGGAGGTCCATAAATCAGAGTAATGTGCATAAAGTCGTCTGGGGTGTTTTTTCCACCCTCTTCGCGTGAGATTTTTTTTTCTTTTTTTTTCTTATTGCGACGACAACGACTACGACGACGACGACGACGGAAAATATTGCTTTAGGGAAATTTAATTTTTCAAATTTATTTTTTTAATCGATATTCGTTCGATATATCTATAAATTATTATTATTATTATTTTTTTAATTTAAAAATGAAATTTAAAAAAAAAGAAAAATTAAATAAGGGTTGTTATCATCGTAATCACGTGATGATAACGAGTGGGATTTAATTCGATTAAAATTTCATTTATTTGAATTGACGTCATTGCGAAAGTGCTAAAAAAAAAAAAAAAAAAAACAAAATGTCTTTACGAATTAAAAGAACAAAAAACTCACTCGTTAATAAATATCGAATGGGAGAGAGAGAGAGAGAGAAAGAAAAAGGAAATAAAAGGGAAAAAAAGAGGAGGAGATGGGATAAGCAAAAAACAAAAACAAAAAAAGTTTAAAAATAGAAATTTAAGGAGAAAAAAAAAAAAAAAAATCTGCATCTATTCAAAATCAATGTTTGTTGTTGTTGTTGTTGTTACTGTTTGTTATTGTTATAAAAAAACAATTTAAATAAAGAAACAAGAATGCATAGAATTTGGTGCATACGAACACGCGCACGCGTATACCGACGGGGTGGGGGGGAAAGATGGAGGAAAAAAAGAAAGAAAAAAATTTCAATTTAATTTAATTTATTTCAAAAAGCTGTTGTTGCTGTTGTGATTTTTTTGGTTTTTTTAAATTTGATGCTTGTTCATTCATCCCCCGTGAAAAACTAATCGTGTGACACATATATGGTTTAAGGGGGGGGTGCGAGAGGGGGTTGAAAACTGCTGAACGTTGAAAAGTTTTTTTTAAAATGGAGAACGAGAGGGAGCGAAGGATCCTTAATAATTTAATTATTGAAAATACTCAGCAAATTACTAAAAATCTCACACCTTTTTTTTCCTTTTAGCTGTCCGTATAAACACCCTATCCCCCTCTCTCTCTCCCCCTTTGGAACCTTCGGAACCCTTCGCGCAACCTTTTTACTACCCTTTTTCTTTTTTAAACGATTAATTTTTTATTTTGAAAAAAAAAAAAAAAATTATTTATTTTTTTTTGTCGTCGTCGTCGTAGTCGTGTTGTTGTAAATAAGGTTTTAATGCAAAATCATCCCTTGTTATTTTCTTCTTGATGTTGAGGGTAGTGGTAAAGGGTGGTAATGGTAAAAGTCGGTTTTTTTAAAAAAAAAAAATTAAATAAAGCCCCCCCTCTTTTTTTTTATTTTCTTTTTAAAAATTTCTTTACAAAAAAAAAATGTAATTTACAAAATGTAAAAAAAAAATGAAAAAAAAAATTTTGTTGGCCATTATCCCAAACCGATAGATAGCTAGGAGAAAAACACGATGAAGGAGAGAAACTTGGACATCTTTTATGTTCGTGGTTCCCTTTCCTGTCGGTGGGTGTTGCCTTAAACGACAGGATTTTGTCCTTCTAACATCATACAATGAATACAATGAACGCTTTTAATTTTCTAAAAAAAATTCAATTTATTTTCGCGGTATGAAAAAAAGTAGGTGTCGAAGGGAGTGAATCGGGGGAGGGGAGAGGAAAGTGGGCGGAGGCGGGAAACGGAAAGAAAACAGGATCGGAAATGAAAAAAAAATATCATCATCATTATTATTATTTTTTTGTTGTTGTTGTTGCTGTCGTTGTTTGCCGTATTGATTATTTATTATCGATCCGATTTTTTTTTTTGTTCTGAAATCCTTTTGTCGTTTTGATTTAAGAAAATAATAATAATAATAATAATAATAATAATAATAATAATAATAATAATAATACTGATGAACCTTTTTTTTTGAATTTGTAGAAGTGAGTGATTATTGATTGTAAAAATTAAAAATGTTTAAAATGTATTCGAATTTGATAAAAAACAAAACGGATTCGTTAATGATGAAAAGACAAATCGGAAAAAATGAAAGTTTACAAAAGTTTCGTTTCGTTTAAAACAAAAAAAAAAAAGGGAAGGAGAGAAGAAGAAGAAGAAGAAGGAGAATAAATTATTATTATTATTATTAATATATGTAAATATAATATAAAACGGTTTTGTAATATCGCGGGTGTTTGATGGATTAATTAATATTAATAATATTAAATAATTAATAATATAGAAAAATCATGTTCATACCTGACACTTTGAGGAGTTGCATGGTTGAACCAGACGTTTCGACGTACCTTCAAACACCTTCCTCGGGACAGGTAAGAATTTTCCCTTTTTTTTTTTTTTTTTTTAAACTGTAAACAAAAAGGAAGACTTTTTTTTTTCAGGAAGATTTTAAAAATTATTATTATTATTATTTATTTTTCGTAAATTTTGAACGTTTTATTAACAATTAGAATGACGTCATTAATATTATTTTTGCGATTGGATGTGCTGACGTTTGACTGAGAGAGAGAGAGAGAGAGAGAGAGAGAGTAAAATAAGGGGTGCGAAAAAATGATAGAAAGAGAGAAAAAGGGTAACGATGCGGTCGTTTATATAGGAGAAAGATGGTAGTGAGAGAGAGAAAGAGATGAAAAAAGGGGAGTAAATTACCCCTGGCTGAAGATGAACACTCAAATGGATTTGAAAAGTTTTATAGACCGAAAAAAAAAAAGGAAAACCCTCGATTAACTATTTTCAGATTAGATAAGTTAAATTTTAAATCTGATTCGTTACGGGGGGGGGGTGGTGGTGGTGGTGACAATTTAGATTTTTTTTTTTTTTTGTTAAGTTTTTAACGGTTTTGACGGTTGGTAACGTAGAAAAGGTTTCGATGTGGAGAATTTTCCTATTTGGTTGGTCGTCATCTACGTTGGGTGTGATAATAAAACGTTTTTGATTCGAATTTTTCCTTTTTGTTTTTATTAAAAGGAAAAAAGGAAAAAAAGTGTCAGGAGACAAATTTGACGTTTTATCAATTTGGCGGGATTTGGGAGAAAATAAAAAAAAATTGACAAAACAAGACGGACGAATTTTTTTTTTTTTTTTTTTGGGGGGGATTTTCTTTGACGGAAGAATGACGGATAAAAGAAGAAACGGACAGTTTTTTGTTTTTTTTTTTTTTTGTTTTGAATGAAAATAAAAAGAAGGAAAAGAAAAGAAAACCGGAAATAAAATGATGAAGAGAAGAAAGAAAAGGAAAAAGATATATATAAAGGAAATCAGTCAAGAAAAAAGAATCGGAACCGTTGAAAAACTTTTTAGTTTTAAAAGAGTAATGGCTCCTTCCTTGGTTATAAAAAGAAAATTGTTTTTTAAAAGTTTTCTTCTGCTTTTTTTTTTCTTTTTCGAAATTGATTCGTTTGTTGGTGATTTGAGATGAAAATTATTTTTGTTTCCGTTTGTTTGCATTTTTTTTTTTTTTTTTTTTTTTTTGATGCATTTAACCGAAAAAGCAAAAAAAACCGTTTTGTAGATCGTTTGTTCCGACAAAAAAAAAATTTAAAATTTATAAACGACGCGGGAAAAAAATTTTTTTTTAGAGCAAAAAAAAATTTGCTGCGCTTAAAATGAATTTTAATAAATTAATAATAATAATAATAATAATAATGATGATGATGATGAAAAAAAAAAAATTATTGCTATTTCGTATTTTTTATTTATTTATTTTTTAAAATGTGTTGAGAAATTCAATAATCACTTTCACGAATACGAATTATTTTTTTTTATTATTCTAATGCCACGACATAATTTTATTATTATTATTATTATTATTATTATTATTTTTAGTGCTCGCTCACGATTCGAATTTTTTTTTTTTTCGTGTGTGTATGTATGTGCGTGTGAGACGTTAACACGTAGAAAAAATAATAATAATAAATATAGAACGCGTCGTTATCATTATTATTATTATTATTATTATTATTATTATCATCATCATCAATTTATTTCTCACGATTGTGTGGTTGGTCGGGGAGTGAGGAGGGTTTTAGGTGCATAATAAGAATTTCGTTGCGATGAAAAATAAGGGATGAAATATTATTTAACGGGATTTGTAAAGCTGAAAACGAGAGAGAGGGAAGGGAAAGGGGGGTGAGGGGAAGATAAGGTATAAGAAAAGATAATGATAATGCCAAAAACGAAAAACGCGTCTACCTTCTACCCCCCTGCTCGTCTTCGATCGTCTCGTCCCCGATGTTAATTTCATTCATTTAAAAAATTTTTCCCTTTAAAAACTGTCCGGACCAACGATTCCAGTCGTTCGGCCATTTTTTACTCTCCCCTCCCCTCCCTAACGTAGTACATTTGTTTTTCGTACGACGACATAATAATAATAATAATTTTGGGATAAAAATCACTTTGTTTTCACGTTTTATGTGAATAGATTGAACAGTTTTTGGGAAATTTGAATTAGGAGGGATGGGAGAGGAGGTGGGGGGGGGGAAATCAGAGGTAAACGCCTCCGACGTGGGATGGGTCACATAAAAACGTTAAAAAGGAAAAATTGATGGAAAGAGAGACAAAGAGAGAGAGAGTGAGTGGAAAAATCATTTTTCAAAAATGATTTGAGTTTTACACGGACCATTCGAATAACATAAAAATTTCTATGTACACGTTTTTTTTTTTTTTTTTTTTAATTCGTGGCGGAAGAATGAATGACGTTAACGAGTTTATATCGAAATGAATTTTTTTTTTTTTTTAAAACCTTTTGTTTTGTTTCGTTTTGGTAATTGATTTGTCATATACAAAATGACTTGTTGGTATGACTTCCAATCGTGTTCCCCCCCCCCCTATCTCTCTCTCTCTCTACGTATATATTCATATTAAAAAAAAAGAAAAACATATATATATGTATATTTTATATATACTTCGTGTTAATGTTTTCCCTCAAATAACGTGACAATAAAAAAAAAAAAAAAAAAAAAAGGAAATACATAATTGATTTCGTGGCTTTTTTTTTAGTATGTTAAATTGTTTTCGTAAGAAATCAAATGATTTACATATAAATAATAAACACGGATGAATAATAATAATAATAATAATAATAATAATAATAAAGAATGTCGGAATTTTATAACCGAAACACGGGGACGCACTCGCACGCACTCACGCACTCGCACACACGAATCCGACGACAAACGTACCTACCTACCTACCTACGGTAAATTAATAATGATGATTTAAATATGTATATCAAATTTCAATTTATTTAATTAAGTAAAAAAATTTTCCATGTTTATAAAATATGTTTTGGTTGTTTGGTTGTTGTTGTTGTTGTTAAGGCTTTGAATTTGTTTGTTTGTTGTTGTTGTTGTTTTCGTGAAAAGTTTTTAAATATTTTTTTGAAACTTTTTATCTGCCCATCAAATTTTTTTTTTTATTTTTGTTTAAACAATAAATAAAACGACTGAATATTTTTTTTTTTTAGTAAATGTTAGACAATAAAACAAAAGAAAAGCAGGAGCAGCAGGAATATTTTAATAATAATAATATTAGTTATAATCAGTCATACGAAAAGAGAAAAAAAAAAAAAAAAAAAGAACAATATCTCAATTGATTTTGATAATAATAAAGTCGTCGCGATGTTATTTTTGGAGAGTTGTTAATGTAGAAGCAGACGCTTTTTTTTTCTCTCTCTCTCTCTCTCTCTCACTCTCTTTCTCTCTTTCGAAGAGAAAATAAAAAAAAAAAAAGCTGCGAGAACAAACAAGAGAATTTGGGCGTTCTTGGAGCCACGCGCGTGACGCTTTAGTTTATTTTGGTCTATCCTACATGTGACCCTACACCGGTAGGAGCAAATATATATATATACATACGCGTCTTTTTCACCTCCTCCTCCTCCCCCTTCCTTCCTCCCACTTTTTTCTTTCCATCGCTCCTCTTCCATCTACTTTAATTCCTTTACCCCTTTCCTTCATCTATTTCCTTCCTCCTCCTCCTCCTCCTCCTCCTCCTCCTACCCCGTTCGTTTCTTTACATACGATCTCATTTTTTTTTTACTCCTTTTTTACAATGGCTCGAAATATGAGAGAGAGAGAGAGACCTCTTGGTTTGTTTCTTTTTCTTTTTCTACAACAGCTGCAAGCCTCGACTTTTCCACGATGACATTTTTTTTTCGTGTTTTTAATCAGCAAATAAGAAATCCAGTTATAGAAAAACATGTTGTCGTCTGCTTAAGCGCAAATGTTAACGACGTAAATTTTTTTTTTTTTTCCAATTAATTTTTCATTCATAAATTTTTTTTTTCGTTTGTTTGTTTCCTTCAACGTTGATCGTTTATTATTATTATTAATATTATTTATTAATTTATATTTGATTTAACGAACGACTTTGAAAAGAAAAAAATTATGTATGTGTACATATACATAAATTTTTTATTTTATTTTAATAATCTCTCCGTCCGTAACGTTGTTGTTGTTTTTTGCTTGAATAAAATGCGAAGGTTGCGGGTTTGAAAGCTAGAAAGAAAAAAACTATTAAAAATGAAGGACGCGGTAGAAAAAAAAAGAAAGAAAGAAAAAATAAATAAATAAATAAAAGTCGCTACTACGCTACGATATATTTTAACGTTAGCAAAACTTAATCGAATTAAAATTATAATTTTTTTTTTTTTTAATAATAAAAAAAATTTGTTTAAGGAAGTATTTTAATTAACAACAACAACGACAGATACCGTCGATCGATCGATCCATCGAAAAAAAATATATCGAATTTATTTCGATTTTGGATTTTTTTTTATTTCGATATGGGAAAAAGAATTTTTCGTTTTTGATTTGTTGTCATCATTTCCGTTTCCGTTGTCGTCATTTTTTTTAAGTTTTGTCGTTTTGTAGTCGCATCGAAGTCGTCATCCTTCAAAAATTTTTTTATTTCCGTTCGAAAAATATCAGTAGCGAAAGATATAATAATAATAATTAATAGAAAATTTTTTTTTAAATAAAGTAAGCAAAAGAGAGAAAGAGAAAATGGAAAACAAAGACAAAAATAAATGATGATTTATGTTCATTCAATTTCTACGACGAAGTGAATGAGAATATGAGAAAGAAAAAACAAACAAACAAACAACAACAACAAAAATATTTTTTTCGATACAAACAAAAAAAAATTAAATATATATGTATCAAAGAAATAAATAATAAAAATAAATAAATAAATAAACGATATAAAATGTACGCGAAATCAAAATGAAAAGAGAGAAAGATAGAGAGAGAGAGAGGGGAATGTGGATGGAAAAACAAAAGAGAGAGAGAAAGAGAGAAACAATTTGGAAAAAAACCTTGGGTTCTTTTAAATGGGCTTAAAGAAAAGCGTAATTAATCTTTTTTTTTTTTTTTTTTTTTTTTTTTGATATTAATTTGTCGAACGAAAATTGTCAAGTATCGATATTGTTTAATAATATTTGTCGAAATAAAACAAAGAGTAAAAATGGTGTAAAATAAATTGTTTAATAAATAAATAAATAAATGACGGTTTCAATGTTGTAAAAAAAAAAAAAATAAAAAATGAAAAACGCGCGGACGGATCGTGTTTTAATTCTTATGGAAGGTCAGCAGGTTTCATTTTTTTTTTTTTTAATAAATTGAAAGCAAAAAAAAATTAAGTGAATTGTTAAAACGTTTATATTATTATTATTATTATTATCAACGTGTAATGAGAAACCGTTTCGAAAGCTGGTTAGCTACACACGCGAACGAATGTTTTAAGAAAATTAATTTGTTTTTTTTTTCTCGATTTTTCCCACAGGATGAATTCCATCCCTTTATCGAGGCGTTGCTTCCATTTGTCAAATCATTTTCATACACATGGTTTAATCTTCAAGCGGCCAAAAGGAAATATTTTAAAAAACATGAGAAACGCATGTCGTTGGAAGAAGAAAGGCGGTGCAAAGAAGAACTCATGGTGAGTAAAAAAAAAAAAAAAAAAAAAAATTTTGTCATACCGGAAAAGTGGAAAACAACGTGGAAAAGGTAGCACACGCATAAAAAAAAGAAAAGAAAAGAAAAAGAAAACCTTGAAACGTCGACAGATTTTTGATAAGAAATGAATTTTTTTTTTAAATTTTAAATTAATTTAAATCGACTGGAGAAGGAGAAGGCTGGAAAATTTTTTTTTGTCTCATTTCATGGAACGCGATAAATAATTTAAAAAAAAAAAAAAAAAAAAACTAATAATGTTCCTTATTTCGATCGATTTTTCGAAATCCTTGCGTAATGAATGCGTGAGGTCGTGTTTACGCATAATGCGTATACACACGCACGCACGCGTATAAAGGGAGGGAGGGAGGGAGGGAGGAAAGGAGGGAGCGAGCGCTGATTTTACATTTGAAGGCCATAATAATAAGCGACGACGACGACGACGACGTCGGAGGTCATACGAAGCCTTAAGCTGAAAACCTTTTTTTTATTTTATCGAAATTAATAAAAAAAAAAAAAAAAATCAAAAGAAAAGCAAAATTTATTTATTTATTTAATTTTTTTTATGAGTTTATGTTCCTGTTATATAATAAAAAAAAGGGGAGGGGGAGGGGCTCAATTTTTTGCCAAGGGGTTAAAAGAATTTTCTTAACCTTCATCTTAGGTTTTGAGATTTTTTTTTTTTTTTTGTTTTTTTTTTTTCTATCCAGAACGAAAAAGTTGAAGTTAAACAAAAATGGGCATCTAGACTGTTAGGAAAACTACGGAAAGACATAACGCAAGAATGCAGAGAAGATTTCGTACTCGGAATAACCGGAAAAAAACCCGCCATGTGCGTCCTGTCCAATCCGGATCAAAAAGGAAAAATGAGGAGGATCGATTGCCTTCGACAGGCTGATAAGGTGAGTTTTCTTTTTTCCTTTTAAAAAATTAATTGATAATAATGATGATGATATTGTTAACGAATTTTGATTTATCCATAAAGGTCTGGAGATTAGATCTCGTTATGGTTATCTTATTCAAAGCGATACCGCTCGAAAGTACAGACGGTGAAAGATTAGAAAAAGCCGCAGAATGCGCTCATCCAGGTTTATGTGTTAATCCTTATCACATAAACGTTTCCGTCCGTGAATTGGACCTGTACCTGGCCAATTTCATCAATAGCCACGGTAAGATTTCATTATTATTATTATTATTATTATCTTTTTCCTCTTTTCGAAAAATGGGAGAAAAAAAAAAATTTTTTTTTTTAAGTGGTGGAGAAGTGAGAATATCATGCTTCGGGGATGTTTATTATTATTATTAAGAAGCACTCAAGGGAAAATTAAATAATTTTCTTTGTCGAATTCGTTTGTTTGTTTGTCTGTTTGTTGCTTTTACAAGATGAGTTTTCTTTCTTTCTTTATTTCTTTTATTGCAAAAATTATTTTGCATTAATTTCAATAATAGATCGATAATCGATTGATTTTTTCGTTAGTGAAAAAAAAAAGATTTTACACGTTAAAGAAAAGAGAGAGAGAGAGAGAGAGAGAAGGGGAAGGGAGAGTGAGAGAAAAATTGGGGCGCATATGTTTTTGCCCCCCTTGTGCAATACGTAAATAAAAATATTTTTCGAAAAAAAATTAAAAATTTTTCGTTTATTTTTAATGAGAGAGAGAGAGAGAGAGGGAGAGAAAAGCAAATATTTAAATTTTCTCGGTTTCGTCATCATCATCATCATCATCATCAACTACTTCCGTTCAACATAACGCCCCCCCCGGTGTGGGGGGGTTATGTTTTTTTACCCTCCAAATCTTTATTTCATTGATCGTTGATTTGTTTATACGTCGAACAAAAAAAATTTAATGCTCCCCTATTTATTTATTTACTATCATTTTTTCGTTCCCTATTTTACAAAAAAAGAGAGAGAGAGAGAGAGAGAAAGAAAAGTTTTTCCGATTCGATTGACCCAGTTGCCCCTCAAGGCCGCAATAAAAAAAAAAAAATGAATTTCGAAAGTTTTTTTGTCGAAGAAAGTTTTTGTTTGTGGTGGAAGAAATCACGTTTCCGACGTACGTACTACGTACGTGTGGCATCTTTTTTTGCCCAACCGAAACGCCCCATTTTTCATTCCGCACGCGTTTTTTTTGTTTGTTGACTTTCTTTTGTCACGATTTTTTATTAATTTATTTTTTTGTGGTTTCACCCGACAGACGTCCTTTAACTCATAAAATAATATTCTCGCAGATAAAGTAATGTAATAATAATAATAATAATAATAATAATAATAATAATAATAATAATAATAATAATAATAATAATTGTTATTGTTTTTTAATATTTAAATGACATTGAAAACAGGTGAGTTAATTAATTAATTAAATGAAGGTGATCTGGTTGATTGTTTATGTTGTCATTTTTACTTCTTTAAATTCGAATCGTTTCCCCCCCCACCCCTCGTGTTCTTTTTGTGCTTTTTTAAATAATGGGTGGCTTTAGAGGTGGTGGTTTGTGGGCAGGAGAAAATCGGAGAGGTAAAGAGAGAAGAGAATGAAAGGGAGGGGGGAAATGGAGGAAGTTAAAATATACCGTACCGGAAGAATGTGGAAGAAAAAGTGGAAGTAGAAAGAAGACGACGAAAACAAAAAAAAAGGAAAGAGAAAACTCTCGAAAATTTGTTTTAATCTAATGAAAAGCTTTTTTCTTAAAAGGTTAAGTTGAAAATATAAATAAACAAATAAATATAAAAAAAAAAAAAAAAGAAAAAATACGAAAAACACGACAAAACAATAAGAAAAAAATAGAAAGAGGAAAGAAAAGAGAAAAGAGAGGAAAAAAAATGAAGAATTTTTTCTTTTCCTCGTGATAAAAACTCGAGTTTTAAAAGATATTTCGGTCGGCGGTTTCATTTTCCGAAGAAAAATAAAAAAATTTTCCCGTTTAGCTTTCGATTTAAATCTCTTTCTCTCTCTCTCTCTCTCTCCTCCACTTTTCCCGAAACCGTTTGTTAACCCCCCTCCCCCCCGAGAAAGATAACAAAAAAAAAAAAAGAAAAAAAAATGATAAAATATATTTTTAGGGTTGGTGAGGGCGGTTCAACTCTATTACATTTCTCTAGACGGGCGTGAACTTTTGTAGGAAAAAAAAAAAAAAAAATCTTTCGGAAAACCACTTTTCTTTTCATTATTATTATTATTAGTATTGTAGAAAAAAAAAACAAAAAAAAAAAAAATCGAGTAGGAAAAATTATAACAAGAAGCAAAAGGTGAAAAAAGAAAAGCGACGGGTAAATCGAATGTCTGACCTCTAAAACCTTACATACTACAGCCCCTGCCCTCTTCCCCCCTCCACATTTTCCTCTTCTTACTAATCTTCTTTAAAATAAAAAAAAATTTATAACTATGCCTAAAGGGGGGGGTGGGGGGGTTAGTATTTTTTCCCTGCCTGTTTTCCGTGTGTGTGCAAAGAAACCGCCAGGTAAGAAAATATCGGTTTTCCTCCCCTTTCCCCTTCATTCTCTCTCTCTCTCGTACGGTGTGCACACCGAACCGCATACGTGTAGATTGATCTTATTGATTCCTGGCTTTCGTCCAGGCCATTTGAATCCGTTCCATTTCATACGAATCGATCATTTTTCTTTTTTTTTTTTTTTTTTCTTGCCTGAAAAATACGAAAAGGGAACGCGAAACTTTTCCAAGGCTCCCTCAAAAGCTCCCACATTTTATTTATTTTACCATATCATCATCATCATCATCATCATGATCATCATGATCATCGATCGTAGTAATAGTAATCGTCATCGTTATTATTATTATTATTTGAAACGGTGGAAATGATGAAATTTTATTTAAAAAAAAAAAAAAAAAACGATTCCATCAGACCGAGTGTCTCTGAGAGAGAGGAAACTTTGTTGTTTTTCCTTAACGTTATTCATTCATTTTTATTTTATTTTGATTGTTTCTCACGAATGATTTTTATAGGTTTCTGGGTCATTTATCATTTCGTTTTTATTTTATTTTTTTTCAATTAAAAAAATTTTGCACGGGGAAAATTTAAGGAAAATTAAGGTTTGAGTGTGTCGTCATTATTATTATTATTATTATTATTATTATTTATTATAAATTTATTAATAGTCAATAAAAGTAAGGTACTGAATGTGCGTAAAAATTCTTTTTGTTAAAAAAAAGGAAGCGGAAATAGAAAACGTGACCGACTCCGTTCACTTACATTTAAAATAAACACATCGGCAAACGCGCAATCAAATTAATTTTTTTTTTTTTTTTTTTTACGTTGTTTGTTTGTTTGTTAGGAATTCCGAGGACATGGACAGACTTGCATATTATAAATCTATATAACTTGTTTATTATTATTATTATTACTATTACTATTCAATCGTAAATCATAATTTTTTTTTTTTTTGCCATTCTGCAGCCATTATTTTTTTGTTTCCGCCATTTTGTTTTTTTAAAACGAGCGGAAAGTCGATGCTGACGTCATTACACGAAATGATGTCATGTTCAAAAGCGCGAAAAAAAATTTTTTTTTTTCTTTTATTTGTGTGACCAGCGGTCGCAGATCCGACGGCATCAGCATCAACAGGAGCAGCTGTCGAAAATCTTTAAAATAAGTCTCTCTCTCTCTCTCTTATTGTCTTTTAGTTCCTGGTAGTAAAAAAAAAAAAAAGTTGAAAAATTTAAATTTTTTTAAAAAAGTATTGACGATGGCGGGCGTGGCGGAGGCGGAGGTATTGAATTAAAAAAAAAGAATAGAGAAAATTTTTTATAATGAATTTGGAGAGGACACCACCGCCGCCGCCGCCACCACTACCGCCACCGCCGGCATTTCTCTCCCAACGGATTTCCAATCAACATTTAACCGACGCATTTATTTGTTAAAAGATTTAAATTTAAAATTTTAACGTGTCTCGAGGCGAAGGCGTTTTTTTTTTTTTTTTTTTTTTTTTACATTTACGAAAAGTGGCAAAAAAGGTGTAGTTATAATTATCATTATCATTAATATTATTACCATTAATAATTTTTTTTTTTATTCGAATTCACTCAAAGGTGGAGTGGGGGGGAAGAAATTTTCTTTTCGAAGGTTTTTTTTTCTTTTCTGTTTTAAAAATCGATGTACATATATATTTATATATAAATACGATGCGATTGTATCAATAAAATTTTAATAATCGATAAATTTTTTATGTATTGATTTTATTGATTTAATCGATTGGACGACATATTATTATTAATATTTAATGATCATTAAAAAAAAAAAAAAAAGTCATTAGTATTGAAAACAACCGTGAAAAACCAATTTGTCGGATACGCCATTTTGTTTAAATACCGGAAACGGAAAATGATGTGTTTGCGCGCGTGTGCGCATGCGCGTTTGTGTATAATTTTTTTTTTTTTTCTGTGGAACTGTAAATCCTGACCTCTGGATTTTGGAAATTTGACAACAATGTCTTTACTTTTCAAATTACTGCGTAATATAAAAGAACTTTTGCCTTTGTGGAATCTTGCCAGTCTTGTCTTTTGATATACTAAAAAAGAGAGAAAGAAGGAAAAAAAAGAAAGATGGAGGAAAGGAAGGAAAGGAAGGAAAAAAAGGAAGAAAACTTAAAAGAAAAAAAAGAAAATCGGTTGGCGCCCCTAAAGTTCATCACGTGGTTTTAAAAAAAAAAAAAATTTCTTTCATTGATTTCAAAAATTTTAAATTTTTGGGAAAATGAGGAAAATTTTTTCAGTAAACAGATGAAATTATGACGTAAAAGCAACAAGCAATTTAAATATTACGAGAGGTTTTCCCTGCCCCCACTCCCACCTCCACCCCCATTTAGTTATTTACTTCCTATTTTACCTCGGACCCTCCTACCTCCTCGCGAGAGTAAAAAAAGCGGGAAAGGGAGGAGCAGGCGGGAGAAGGAAGAAAGAAAAAAAGAAAAGAAAATGTCTCCTCTCGAAATTTTCTTTTTTCTTTTTTTTACGTTAATTATTTTTTCTTTTCAGAACTGTTAAGTGGAATTTGTGATAATAATAATGACAAAGATGATGATCGTGGAATAAAAGGTAAATTTTCTTTCTTTCATTCTTTTCTTTTATTTTCTGTTGTTTGTGCGTGTGAAAATTTTGCATAGAAAGAAGAAAAAGAGAAAGAGAGAGAGAGAGAGAGAGAGAGGGAGAGGATTTTCCTAACAAAAAAAAACCGGAAAATCTTTTCTTCTTTTTTTTTTTTTGTTGTGACACTTTAATATAATAATAATAACTTCTTTACTTTTTGCATTTTCCGTTGTGTTTTCTTATTTTAAAATAATAATAATAATAATAATAATAATAATTTATTTGTCGTTTGTTTGCTCTCATTATTGGAGGTTGTTTTTATCGTGTGTGATGATTTTTGTTTTGTTTGTTTTGTTTGTTTGTTTGTTTTCACTTCTCCCCACTCTAACGTTTTTTTGTCTTTTTTTCCTTGGAAAATATTAACAATTTTTAATAAAATTTTCCCAAGAGATGGATTTTCCGTTTAAGGTTATGATTAACCGCCTGATTATGGGCGAACTCATAATCAACAATAATTTTTTTCAGGTTATACTCATAACCCATACAACGGCGTTGTCTGCAATGACACCATCCTCGCAACCGGAGTCTTTTCTTCCAAAGAATTATGGAGATTATCAAAAGGTAAAGAGAGTCCGCGTTGTGCAACATAACAGAAAAAAAAAAAAATTTATTTTTAAATCGCGCAAAAATAGAAGGGGGAGAGGCGGGGGAGGGGGGCGGGGAAAGAAGAGGGAAACGAAAACGCGTCGTAGTTTTTTTTTTTTTTTAAATCGGAAACCGCATTTAAACGACTGCAGAAAAAAGGCGGAAGTTCATCGACTTTTTACACGAAAAACGCGAGAGCACGCGCACGCACACACGCACACACGCGCGCGACCATATTGTTATGGCTAAATGATGTGCTTTCTATTTATAAACCAAAAAAAAAAAAAAATTTTTTTTCTTTTTACACGCGCGCGGCCATTTTTTTTTTCTCTTTTCCTCAGGTTTCACGTCTTCTCATTACAATGACATTATTATTATTATTTTTTATTCACGCACTTGGTATACTTAGTGGAAATTTCATCGCTGATTTATTTCAGTTCGTTTTTTTTCCTTCCTTTTTTTTCCACGGAATTTTCAAAATTTATAAAAAAAAAAAAAAAAAAAAAATTTTTTTTTTTTTTTTTGCAGCATCAATTATCTCGAGCGTAAATGGCATACAGCCAACATTAAACACAATCAAGATAGAAAATCCGGGTTATTATTGCAGTAGTTACACTCCTCCAGCTACAGATCATTCTTCTCTTCTCTCTGGGGGTACATACAGTAAGTAATTATAATGATAATTTTTTCTTCTTCCCCTTTCCCTTCCTTCCCTTCCTCTTTTCCTCCCTCCCTCCCTCCCTCTTTCTTTTATTTCACGTACTTGATATAATTATCATTAACGTATATAAATTATCGGCGTCGGATCGTCGGATTATGCGTCGTCCCGCCATTTTACAAAAAAAAATTAATTTTTTTTTTCTTTTTTTTTTTTTTTTGCGAACGAAGGTCCTCTGTCTCTACCCCGAAGCACACACAGTCCAGGAGTTGGAGGAGAGTCTAGAAACAAACGTTTGCGTAGACTCAGTTCAGCTGATGAGGAAATGGAACTAGTCCGAGAGAAAACGGAAGCTGTTTATTACGGTCAAAGCCCCGCTTCTCTCTCAAGTCAGACATCTTGGCATTCTGACGTGGATCACGGTTGGTTTAGTCGTCAAACGAAATCATTTTTCTTCTTTTCTTTTCATTCCCCCTCCCCCCACAATCCTCCTTCCTTATCCCGTATAAAAATTAATTAATTATATTGATTTTTTTTTTTTTTTTTTTTTTTTTTTTTATTTGAAGGAGGAGTGAGATCGTCTCAATCACCGCGAACCCTCGTCGTGAGTGGCGGTGGCGGCGGCGGCGGGGGACACACCTCAGGATCATCATTAAGATCTGCTTCTCCTTTGCCAACGGGAAATTCACGGACGAGACAAGGTAGGTAACAAACAAATTGTTAACAAGGAATGTTGAGTTTTGCCGATTGCCGTTTATAATTAACGAAATAACAACAAATAATTATTATTATTATTTTTTTTTTGACTAATACAAAAAAAAGAAGAAATTTGAATGCTGATATTTTTTTTTAGTATTGTATATAGATATATACTAGTGCATAGTCATTAGTTTTTTTTTGGGGGGAGGGAGGGGGTTCATTAGTTAAAGTTTTGTTAGTTTTTGGCTCATATAATATAATATACTGCTATAGAGTAGCAAGAGTATTTAACGGTGCTACTAAAATAACAACCGGATAAAGCCGATGATAACCACCACCATTACCACCACCACCACTACCACGACCACCACCATTTCATTTTAATAATAATAATAATAATAATAATAGGTTTCTCATCACTAACTCTCTAATTTTGTTTCAGTCCCAAATGTATTTAAAAAGTTGAATTGCATGATGTGTGCGACATCACACTAAATCGACATCAGGTATTAATAACATCCCTTAATAAAAAAACCGTCATACATTTTTTTTTTTAATTCGTTGCATGTGAGAGAGAGAGAGAGAGAGGGGAGAGAGAAATGTCAAATGATTACAAATTAAATGTTAAATGGTTGTCGTTGTTGTTGTTGTCGTCGTCGTTGACGATTTCTTTGTCTTCTTTGGGTTGTAACTTTCTCTTTCGATTCATATTCGTAAAACGAAGTGTACAGTATGTGTATACACCATTTTCATCATCTATTATTAACCTGTTATCACGTTTTATCACTGCGTATGTGCGCACGTGCACACACGCACACACATACGTGAAACAGTATAAGCGGAAAGGATTTTATGTAACGAATTTTTTATATACGTATAAAATTCTTTCTCCGCCATATCTTTTCATATCGATAATAATAATAAATTTGATTTTTCTTCTTCTTCTTCTTCTTCTTCTTTGTATTATTATCATTATTATTATTTTATTTGTTTTTGTATACACGTGTGTTTAATATGCTTGTTATTGATTATTTATCATTCGTCGCATTTTCTTATTATCATTCATATTTGATAACAATAATTACACTGTGTGTATATATATGTACCTATCTACCCTTTTATTAATTTTTATCATACGGCACCGTGCGTATGCGTAACCTTATAGTAATAATAATAATAATAGTAATAATAATAATAATAATAATGAATTGCTTTCAAGCCCTTTATGATTTTTTTTTTGCATTGCCAGATTTTTGTGTTTTTGCATTACTTTGCTATATTAAAAAAAATTAATGCTTTAACTGTTACCGCCGCCATTGTTGTTGTTGTTTTGAATGAGTGAAAAAAATTGTTTTTATTATTATTATTATTATTATTGTGAAGAGATCAATGTGGAGTAGTGAGGATATATATATATATATTTTCCGAACGTATTACGTCACAAATACGAATGAGGGTAAAGAGGAAAAAAAATGATATGGAAATGATAGGGAATACGCAACATATTACTATGTTTTATGCATGTTACCTACTAAATCAATGTTCGTTATGTTTTTGTTTTTTTTTTTTCCCAAATTTTTAAATAATGCGATAAATAATAAACGTTGCGTCGTTTTTTTGTCATTTAAAGGATTAAGTACTCAACATAACGTTGTTACGTCATTGGCTGGTTCGAGTTTAGGAGTCGGAGGTTACTATCAAACGCAAGCACCTCATCATTCGCCTAAATACCCGGAAAACGGACACGATACCCTTTCTGATTTTGTCACGTTTGTCTGTCAAGAAGCTGAAAATACTCAACAAGGACCCCAGGTACAAATAATTTATTTATTTATTTATTTTTTTTTTTTTTCCCCGTTATCGCCATATTGAATTTGTCTTTTTCTTTTGAAATTTTTCAGGTGCAAGGAAACATTACCAGGAATTCAGCAAAATTAGCTCAATATTATCCGAGTTCGATGTTACCACCTCCGCCACCTCCTCCAATGGCTCGACCCGTGGCTATAATACGATCGACGGGAGAATTGACAAATTCGCCTCCGACATCGACAACACCACCCATAACGAATAGTTCTTCTTCTCCCGACGGACACTGTCACGATCCGGGACTCAGTCCGTCGCCGCCTAATTTAGGAACTGAAATGCCATCGGTACGAGTCAGTTCGGTGGTAACTAGTCCGTTTGCTGTCAGTCGTGAATATACATTCTCTCATATTCACACCCAGCCGGGACAGGTGCGAGTGTTGTAAACCATATACAAGTTCAAGCGGATGAAATTTTTTTTTTTTTTTTTTTTTTTTTTTTCTTCACTCGAAATCTCTCTTAATGATAATAATAATAATGTTTTCCTTTTAGCTTTTCAGTTATCCAAACATGAGCGGAATGACCGGAGTTATAAGTCCGACGAATTTGAGTCTTTTTACCGGACCCTCGGTGACGAGACCCCCGCAATCGACACCCAGATCCACTCCGATACCTCGATGGAACGCACCATTTATCAGTTTGGACGAAGACTACAATATGATGCCATTAATGCCAGGAACTAATCCCGGTGATCAAGGTTCTTTAATCGACACAGACGGTAAGTAATTGCTTAAATTGCTCAATTGTAAAAACCCCTCCCACACACACACACACACACACACCCTCCCCTCACTCCTCATCGTCACTCCCATTTAAAACTGACGTTAATTTTTTTTTTTTTTCGTTTCTTCCCCCCCCCCTTAATCTCCCTTTCCCTCTCCCCTTTTAGAAAGATATTTCAGCACCGTGGCTCACGGGGAAGATTTAGACGGTTCTACGACAAATCAAGGAGGTTTGGTGACGGGAGGACCAGGATCGACAGGTTCAAGTGGCGGAGCACCGACCCCTCCATCACGCACGCCCAATCCTCAACCTCAACCGGCTCCTGGATCGGGACCTCCAACTCCAGTCAAATCTCAGCCGTAATGTAGTTATTTAGTCATTTAGTGTAGGGCCTTAGTTAGAAACAATCGAGTTTGCTCAATATTTAAACAAAATAGTTTTTAAAAATTAAATTAAATAAAATAAAAACGAGTAAAAAAAAAAAAAAAAAACCAAGTCTTCAAATTTAACCGGAAATAAAAAATTTCTTTTTCTTTCTTTTGCAACGGAAAATCAATTTAATTAATTTAAATAATTTGTTTTTATTTTTTGCTTGCGGATTTAACGAGCCGAACATACACACACACACAAAAAAAAAATGCGTTTATATTTTAATGTTTTTCTTTATCGCCTACGTCATCTCATAATCGTCATAATCGTCATCGTCATCGTCATTATTATTATTATTATTATTATTATTAATTTAATTTATTAATAAATTAACGTCAAATCAGTCAGAGTTGTTTTTTTTTTTTTTCGTTGTTATTATTATTATTATTATTTCGGTTTTTGTTGTTTCTGTTTGTCAGAGGTCAATTTGTATGTTTTTGTTTTTGTTTTTCCTGTTGTTACTGTTGTTGTTGTCGTTTTCGTTTCGTTTCGTTTCAAAATAATAATAATAATATTATTTATGGAAAGATAAATTTCCAGCAAGTTATCCAGTCTATCTTTTATCATTATTTAAATCCATGACAATAAATTGATGCTAATGATTATTAAGATGATGATGATGATGATGATGATGATGTTAATATATAATAATAATAATAATAATAATAATAATAATAATAATAATAATAATAATAATAATAAACAACGACTTTTCATCGAAGTTTTAATTTTTTCTTTTTTTTCTTTTAATATTTTCGTGAGAGTGAATGAGTAAGGTGTGCGTTTGTTTTGTCAGTGTGCGTGTGCGTGTGCGTGTGAGCGAGAGAGAGAGAGAGAAAAGGTTTGTTCTATCGTCTTAAATATAACATTACAAAAAAAAAGAAAAACTTTTTCTTTTCAAACAAACGACTCGGACGAATCAAAAAATTTCGAAAGCTTTAAAAAAAGAAATTTTTTTTTTTTTTTTTTTAAATTTCATTTTCTTTTTGTACATAAAAATAATAATAATAGTAATAATAATAATAATAGTAATAATAATAATAATGTAATAAATATTAAATCGGAATCAATCGAAGAGACTAGTCTACCGTCGGTATCATTATTATTATTATTATTATTATTATTATTATTATCATTTTTTTTTTTAACTTGTTATTTGTGTGCCAGTTTTTTTTTTTTTTTTTTTTTTAAATTTGTTGTTTTCGTTAAAAAAAATAAGAAAAGAAAATTCCAGAAATTTTTATTTTTATTTTTATTTTTATCATTGATTGATAATTTTTGTCCAGCCGTTTCGACTGGAATGTATAGTTAAATTGTGAGAAAAAAAAAAATTTCTGGAAAATTATTTATTTATTTTAGTTTTATTTAAAAAAAGAAAAAGATTTTTTTTTTTTTTTTTTTTTAGATTTTTATTTTGTTTTTTTTTTTTATTATTTCCTTTTCCGCTTCCACCCATTTTCCCTCCCTCCCTCCCTCCCTACCTTTCTTTTTTCTAAGCAAATAAATCGTTATTAATATATATATATTTAAAATGTTTTAAATGATAATAGTAATAATAATAATAATATTAGTTACGTATTTTTTATTATTATTTTTACTCTGTTATTATTTAATTATTATTAATTAATTATTATTAAAAAAAAAAAAATTTTTTTTTTACGAAATTTTTTTTTTTCGTTCACTCCCGTCGCTTTTTTTGTCGTTTGTTCGTTTGTTTGATTGTACGTGAGTTTGTGTGCGTGCGTGTGCGTGTATGTGTATGTATGGTGGGTGCGTATCATGCGTGTCTCGTACTGAACATAATAAATTAATTGAAAATAAAAGTAAATAAAATTATTTTTAGGCTCACGTGATGATGACGATGACGATGATGATAATTGTAATAATGATGATGATGATGATGATGATGATGATGATAATAATAATAATAATAATAATAATAATAATAAAAGTACAATAACGGAAGAAAAAGAAAAGAAAAATTAATTAAAATGACTTCTTTACCACCCCAAAAATTTTTTGTTAGTATTATTATCAACGTCATCGCATCATCATCGTCGTCACCATTATTTATTATTATTATTATTATTATTATTATTAATTATTTAAGGGTGCTTAAATAAAAATCTATCGAAAGGTTTAAAACTAGTCACAAAAAAAAATAAATAAATAAATTAAAAACCCGGATTTTGTTTGTAATAAATAAATAAATAAATAAATAAAATTTTTAATAGACGTTAATAATAATAATAATAATTCTTTTGTTAAAAAAATTTAATTTATTTAAAAAAAAAAAATTTTTATTAAGCATCCTTTATTATTAATTTTATTTTTTTTTGTATTATTACTTATAAATATTATTATTATTATTATTATTATTATTATTAAAAAAAAAAGAAAGAACCAGTGTTGTTTTTTTTTTAACTTATTGTAAATTTTCTTTATTATTATTATTATTATTAATATTAATTATTTGTTTTTCGCACTAGAGTATAACAACAACGACGACGACGACGGCGACGTCATGTATATTTAGAATTTAATTAATTAATTATTATTATTATTAATTAATTTTTTTTTGAAACGAAATTTAAAAAAAAATTTGTCATCGGTCAGGTTAAACATGTATATTTACGTATGCGAAAGTCTTGTAAAAAAAAAAAAAAAAAAGAAGAATCTGTCGTATGATGACAACAATTTCAATATTATTAGTGCCATTTACTTAAATTGTTGATCGTTAAATAAATAAATAAATAAAAAATTAAAAATGGCGACGGTAACAAATTTTCTAGTACAAACGTCATATTTATTATTATTTTTTTTTTGTATTAAAAAGAGCTTCAAAGCAAACGTATTGTTTTCATTTTTTTTTTCTTGTTTGTTTTTCATTCGATTATTATTATTATTATTACTACTAATGTTAATATTATTATTATTATTTAATTACAATAAATAACGATGGGGGAGGGGGGGGGAGAAAAAAAAATTTTTTTTTTTTTAAATTTAACGTAGAGATTTTGAAATGGAAAATAAATATACGTAATAGTGTCTTATTATTATTGAATTGAAATAAATAAAATTTTGTAGTTAATGAGCAGCCATTTTGATATTTTTTAGATTACATTTAAAAATAAATAAATGAATAATAATAATAATAATAATGATAAAATTTAAAATAAAAAAAAAATTGACAAATAAAAATAACATTTTAAACTGTTAACTGTATTATTTTTTAATTTTGTTTAAAATCAATCTAAAACAATATTCGATAATAAATAAAAGTATTTGGTGCTAGTCAGACTTGAAGTTCGATTTCTTTTTTTTTTTTTTTTTTTTTGTTTTTTTATTGTTTATTTATTATGTTCCTACTCTTAATCCAAAGTTTTTTAAAGATTTACTTTTATAAATAAATGACTAACCTTTATTTGTGTAATTTAATTATTTATAATGATGACATAATCGATAATGAGAATGTTATAAAACAAAAGTTTTCTTTTTTTTTTTTTTTTTGGTTGCCATTTTTAATAATTTTTGTGTTGTAAAATTGTATTTAATGTTGACATTATGTGTTGACAATGTTTTGTAAAATGAAAAAAAATATTTAAAAAAAAATTAACTTGCCCAAATAAGCGATGTAATGCAAAAATTATAATACTCGAATATCACAATGATCAATTGATTCCAGTCGATCCAAATCCTCCTGAGCCTCTTTTAGATTCTTCTATTTCTGTAACTTCTTGTAGTTCAGGATAGCAAATTTTTTCACATATAAATTGTGCTATTCTATCACCTTCATTCACTTCGAAATCAATATCAGAATGATTGAATAAAACTACCCCCACATTACCTCTGTAATCTTCATCAACGACTCCAGCTATACAAACACAAATAACATAAATGTTAAAAATTTGCCTTAGTGAATTGATTGTGTAATTGCAGTTTAATCATATGTGTATAATTGTAAGTAAAAATCAATAATTTAAGAATTTTAATAATCAAATCAAAATACCTCCAACATCGATTCCATTTTTTAATGCCAAACCAGATCTTGGAGCTATGCGTCCATAACAGCCATGAGGTACGCGAACTTGAATATCAGTCATACATAAAACTCTACCTTTCGCGGGTACAGTTACTTTGTATGCACTAAAACAAAATATACAAATTAGTTTTTTTTAAATCTTATAAGATTTTTCAATGTATTGACTTGTATGATAAAATTAAGTGTTACATTTATGCCATTGCAAAATTGGCGCCAACAATAATTTTAAGGTATACCTTTTTAAATCAAATCCAGCTGCCTTTTCCGAACTACGTACCGGGGCAAAACCTTTTGCCGTAAGTTTTTTAAATTGCAAAATAGCTGTTTCACCTTTCATATTCACAAAAAAAATAGATAAATAAATGTACAAAACAAAAAAAATTGTAATTTTAACCAGTAACTGACACGACTGACAACTTGCACGAATAAATTTTGCACATGGAATGTCTTGTCTTCTGCTTTCGAACGTTAAAAAAAAAAAAAACCGCGGCAAAGGAATTTATGAAACTCATCGAAACCGGTATGTAAATAATATTTTTTAAAATATTTTTTTAGTAATTGTTTTTATAAAATACTTTTAAGTAATTATTTACATGAAATTATATACTTTTAAACGATTTTAAAATATTATTAAACAATAATTTCAATGCTAAGAAATTGTGGGAAAACGATTAGTGTTAAACAAAATGGCGGTTGTAACGTTCGTAGAATATTTTTAAAATAAGAAAAATTGCATTATTTAATTTTTTTATTGAAATCATTGCGGTAAGTTACTTTATTTTTTAAACTAATTTATATCTTTCTTTAATTTATATCTTTTTTTTTATATCTCTTTAAAGGGGGGTAAAAAAAAATTACGTTTTATTTTGATTCAAATAAAACTCATATATTGAAAATAAATTACGCTAAAGAGATAGAAATTAATTAAACAGAATTTAAAAACAAAATTAAACGAAATTACTTTAAATATATATCACTCATAAAATAAATATATATAAATAATTATATAGAGTATAAAATGAATCAAAAAAAAAAAGTATATATATCATCAATTTTTATATTTCATATTTTTATTTATATAAAATTGAAAATTTTTTTTTTTAAACACTTCAATTATTATCATTATTTGATAAAAATATATATATCACATTATATTGTACAATAATGCAAATAGTTTGAGCCAATTTTTCCATTTTCTATAAATAAACAACAAAAAAAAAAAAAAACTTGTACTTAATTTCCCACATTCTATAAAAAATAATTAGTTATAAAGTTTTAAAAACAATAAAAATCTTTTTATTTTAATTATTTTTATTATTATTATATAAATAAAATTTTTCATTATTTAAAAAACAAAAAAAAAAAAAAGAAAAAAAAACAAACAAATAACAGTTAACCATTTTTATTTTTAAAAAAAATATATATATATATTAAAGTTAAAATATTAAAATCTTTTTAAATTAGAATATATTAAAAAAAAAAAAAAATTTATTAATAATAATAATTTTTCATCCCAAATTTTAATCAATTACGTTTCCACATAAATTTTATTTATTTTAATAATAATAATAATAGTATTTAGGCAATTCTTGTGTGTGATCTTGCTTTTCTTATAATTTCACAAGGTTCTCCACAACCTATAGGTTCTTTTCTAAATGTAAAATATTCTATTGCAAGGCCACTGGTCACTAAAAAAAAAAAAAATAAATTAGTTGAGTTTAACGAAACGTTTTGTAAAAAATAAAATAAAATAATAAAATAAATTATGGGGGGTCGTACAATTTTCAGAAACTTCCCGGCAAGATCTTAATTTTTTACCATTCGGATGAAAATAATAAACATCTGCACGTTGTCCAGTTTTAGTACCATTTCTTCTATATACCAATTCTCTTCTCCAGCCTTTTTCAAGTGGTTTCAGGTACAATTGTTTGTTTTTTGATATCGGTTCCGACCTATTGGGGTTATTAATTTATTTATAACAAAGTAATAATAATAACATTAAATGAAATAAAATAAAATGTTTTTACCTTCGTTTTGTAACATGTTTAAAAACGATTTTACTTATATTTTTTTTAAATTGAGAATTAATGGCCATTTTTTGTTTTTCTCTCATTTCTCTATATTTTCCTATATTTCTTTTAACAATGCTTCTGAGATCTTTAAATGTTGATTTTTTATCAATATCATTATCATTAGGTTCTGATTCTTTTTTACTTTTCAGTTCAAAATGATTTTTTAATAATTTTTTTGATTTTTTTAATGGGATGTCATCATCGTAACCATCATCATCATATTCATCATCATCATCATCATCATCATCCTCATTATTATTTTCTACTGTATTTTTATTTTTTGTACTATTTTTTTTATTTTTTTTCATTCTAGATAATTTGTGTTTTTGAGATTTTGCAACTAAAAAAAAAAAAAAAAAATATAAAATTTTCACTAACAAAAACAAACGAATGAAAAGTTAAAAACAATATGGCTACCACCTACCTTTTTTTTTCATAACATTTTTAAGAATTTTTTGCCTCGAAGTTATTTTCGATTGATTCATTTTACTTTTAGTTATTATTTTTTTTAATATTTTTTTATTTTTACATGCTTTTCGTCCAACCTGTCCCCTATTAGTTTTAATTTTTTTTGTCTCACTTTTAACACTAGATTTTTTTAAATCACTCACTTTTATCATTTTATCATTTATGCTTTCTTTTTTTTTACCTCTACCATTAGTTCTTGTTTTATCATTTCTCACTTTTGAATTTGACTTTTGTTTTATCGGAGACGACTTTTTCCTTGTCATAATTGAATTTATTAATTCTTTTCTTATTACATGATTGTGGGTTGCTTTGGCAATGGCAGTTTCAGTCTTTTTAGTAGTACCTCTCAAACACTTGGTATTCTCTTTAGATAATCCATGACCTTTTCTTTTATTTCTAGCATCTCTTACCGTTTCAAAATTTTCATTTATTCCTAATGGCTGTCGTTTAAATGAAAAACATTCTGGTGTTAGTCCATCGGTCACTAAAAAAAAAAAAATGTGTGTTTAATTCTTTTAATAGAACAAAAAGCAAATTCATTTTTAAAATAAATCCTTAAACAATTCAAAATTTCAACCTAGAATTTATATAATTTGATTTAATGAATCAAAATTTACAATATGTTTGGCACTTATCGTTTTAACAATAACAGTTATTAATCGAACAATCGTAAACTAATTTGTAAAGTAAAAAGTCAAATTTTTTTTGAAAATAACTTTGTTTATATAAATAATATGAAGTTAATTTCATGAATAACAATTGAAAATGTTAATTTTTTTTTTAATGAATTAAAATAATCCGAATGGTTTCTTACAATTTAATTTGATTTCAGTTAACGATCTGATTTTTTTCCCACTCGGACTAAAATAATAAATATCACAATTAAGATTTCTATTTTTAGTGACAACCCTTTTAACAACTTCTCTTGTCCAACCTAATTCAAAAGGTTTGAGCAATAATTCATCATCCAATTTACAATCTTTTAATTGTTTTTTTTTATTTTCATCCAACATTTTGCATTCATTTAATCCCAATTATTTATAACATTTACTAAAATATAATTTCTTTTCACTTAATTTTATTATTATTATTTCTGAAATGAAAAAGAAAAAGACAAAAAATTAATAATATAATTAATAATAAAATAATTAAATCAAAATAAATTAATAAAAACTTTAAATATATATATATATATATATGTAGGTATGAACAGTAGTAAATTTTGTAAACATTTTATATTCACTCACTTGCACTCCATTAATAATAAATTTAATTTTTTTTTTTTTTTACTTACTTTTTTATTATTATATAAATAATTATTAAAAAAAAAATAAAATTAAAATGACAGTATTGATATTAAATTAAGTCAAATTTAAATAATATTGATAAGTAAACTAATAAATTCAACATAAAAAAAAAATCACAATGGCGACTTTGCCTGTTAATTCAATTTAACTGATATACATATATTTTTATT